AAAGGGAAAGGGTCTAATACCCAACCTCCACCGATCGCCTGCCACTGATTGAAAGTAGATAAGTGGTAAAGATCTTGTCAATTTAAATGCCTTGTTTTCGTACAAAACAACTTAATCGATTTAGAGGTTTTAAGTCTCCGAGGTGGAGTGTGCCACTAAAAAATCGATAAGCACAGTTAATCCCGATTGCGGGTCAGTGCACGCTCCTCGGATGGACCCAAAAAATCGATAAAATTTTGCTCCGCTGTGGTGACTGGAGCTTGATCGCATTAAAATGCACTGAATTGCAAATAATGGCCATTTTTTCCCCATCGTCCATTACATTCGGGTTTCTTTATAATCTTAAATTGGAAGTAAATGGTGAAGTTAATATTAAGGGAAAAATGCAAAAAAATGTGCAACTGTGGTTACTAAGCAACGGTAAAATTGACGATTGTTCCACAAAAGTAACTATAACAGTGGAGAATGTGCTACTGGTGTACAGTAGAGGTAGGAGCATGGATAGATGAGGAGGAATTAAGGAATCAGACTAACCACGTATCAAATCGCAACCGGTGTTATTATCTTATGATTCCGTCTTGTGATTGTTTTTCTGCCTTGACCGTCACAAAAGCATTTGAGGGAATGTGAATAATCTGTAAGACTAGCCAAATAAATTACGTTTTATGACAGTGAGACAACATCTCAAATTTAATGACAGAGTTGACCTAACATTTCTTCCGTCTGTAAATTGCATTGAACGATCCTATCCGGGAGAAAATCACTTGAGGCTCAATTCCAAAATTGCAGGATCTTCTTGGCATTTGAGGGGAAAGTGAGGTAGCAGGATTAGCGGCTCAAAAGTGGTTTACATCTGTATGACTATAAGATCTGGGGCTGGTGAATCATCTGGGAGGAGGGAATGAGATACCAATCCATCTCCATATTCCTGTGCAGATTCTTCTCTAAGCGGTGATTGTGACATTGGCCACCTTTCTGTTTTCGTACGTACGAGAAGGTAGTGAATATTAACTCGGAGAAGCTAATATACTGTTCTATTAAATATTTTGTTTTCTTTTTAAATGACCCTAAAGTTAAGGCAGCTATTCCTACGAGTAGGTGTTGACATGAAAGACACCCACTGTCCAGCTCCTATTCTCCCTGAGCATCATAAAGCCGGTTAGTCTGTCCAAATTGGGTCACCTAGAGGACGTAACTGTAGATGATCTATTGTGTTTGTGGACTCTTTAGTCAATATGGGGTTCAGTCGGCACACCAGTCCTTCCACTCATCCTTACTAGAGCGGTCTTCGGATCTGTGCGAAATTTGACAAACTTTGATTTCTCTAGGTGCTGCAAGAGATCACGAAGAATGGCGCCGAAGCGAACCGGCGAGAAACCGAAGTGGGTCGATTTCAGCACCAGCCTCTCTGTCCCAGCAACCAGAACGGGAATGTTGTGTTTTACCGTGAGACAAGGCAGCTGGCTCGTGCTGCGTCACCCCACGACGTCCAGTCCGGCCAAACCGAATCTGCGTCTGGCGCCCTCGTTTGCGACCACGTCGTGGACCATTGTATCCGCTTTCATCAAAACCTCAGCTTTTAATAATAATTTGAGCCTGAATTCCATGGAGAGCAAGGAGACCCCCTTTCACACCTCTCCCATCAGGTGCAAAAAAAGCTTACTGCAGATTCCTCTTATATAAAGGGAGTTTTACCCCCAGAAGACAAAAGCGAACTCAGCCGCAGCCGCATTTGTTGCCATGTGTTTCCATCTCCCATGAG